AGGATCAAAATAGTACCAAAAAAAAAAAAAAAAAAAAAGACACACACACACACACACACACACACAGTCATTTCCGTCTTTAACTAGATTTAATTTGGACTGTCCTGTGTTTACTGTGGCCAGCAGCTACACTCTTTCTTTGTGTTGCGGTCTGTTTGTCCTTCATTCTTTCACTCACTCTCTCTCATTTACTCTCTCTGATCTGTTTTTACCGAGGGCTGGACTTCTCCGCTTAGATATTTATCATTCCTGTGTAAGAGTACATGTATAAGGAGTGTGCGTGTGCGAGTGTGCGTGTGTGAGTGAGAGAGAGAGAGAGAGAGAGAGAGAGAGAGAGAGAGAGACTTCAGGTTGATGAGTAATCATCTTGTGTCAATACTGTAAAAATATTATTCAGTGATGAAAAGATCATTCACAATAAAACGACTGACGTGTCACCGACATCAAAAGAGTACCAATCAGGTGGGTTACCGTGGTCGCTGTTGTTAGGGTATCATTATGACGTAATTGATTTGGTATGATGTGGCTTCGTTACTGCAGCCGACAAAGCCTTGTAGTGGAAGCAAGAATGTTTAATTGCTGGCTAACTGTTATACCAAACCATTTCCTCACTCCTAATGAACAGAAACAAAAATAATAAATAATCAGGCAATCAAGCTTGGCTCGGTAAACAGCTAGCTAATTTTATGTTTTATAGCTAGCTATTTTGTTTTTGCAACTTTATGCACAAGTGGCATTCGGAAAGTTGCGTGGTAGAAGTTTGGTGTGAACTTCATTTCTCCGTTATTACCACATTTATGTATGTATGTATGTATGTATGTATGTATGTATGTATGTATGTATGTATGTATCTATCTATCTATCTATCTATCTATCTACCAGAAAGAAGAAACCATAGCTCTGTCCTCTTGTTTTCTATTGACTTATGCTTCCAAAGTTCAGAAATGTCAAGGAAGATTATTGTATGTTTACATGAACCTTATATTATTTTATCCCTTACCAAACACTCCTTGTTGGTACAGTAACATAAACCTAGGCAGCTAGAAATATTAAGTGTATTTGTTACAAAAGCGATACTAAACACACCCACAGATCCTTATGAATGAGCTGCTGCATGAACCTTCAGTTTTCGTTTAAACTTGACACTTTACCGTCGTGTTTCTTTCAACTAAAAATGAACAATAACTAAATGCCGGTTAAATACTAAATACTTACCAAATGTGGTCCAAGGAAAGACAACCAGTGAACCAGTGACAGGGTCATGGACGCCCAAGGCTCACTGATGCACGTGGAGAGCGAAGGCTAGCCCGTCTGTTCTGATCCCACAGAAGAGCTACTGTAGCACAAATGGCTGAAAAAGTTCATGCTATCTATAAGAGAAAAGTGTCAGGACACAAAGTGCATCGCAGCTTGCTGTGTATGGGGCTGCGTAGCTGCAGACCGGTTAGTGGCCCATGCTGACCCCTGTACACAGCCTAAAGCACCTACAATGGGCACGTGAGCATCAGAACTGGACCATGGAGCAATGGAAAAAGGTGGCCTGGTCTGATGAATCACATTTTCTTTTACATCATGCACTATGGGAGGCAGCGTGATGCTCTGAGCAATGTTCTGCTGGAAAACCTGGATCCTGGCACTCATGTGAATGTTACTTTGACACGTACCACCTACCTAAACATTGTTGCAGACCAGGTACACCCCTTCACGGAAACGGTATTCCCTAACGGCAGTGACCTCTTTCAGAGGGATAATGCACCCTGCCACACTGCAATTAAAAATATTGTTCAGGAACGGTTCAAGAAACATGACAATGAGTTCAAGGTGATGACTTGGCCTCCAAATTCCCCAGATCTCAATACAATTGAGAATCTGTGGGATGTGCTGGACAAAGAAGTCCAATCCATGGAGACCCCACCTCGCAACTTACAGGACTTAAAGGATCTGCTGCTAACGTCTTGCTGCCAGATGCCACAGCACACCTTCAGAGGTCTTGTGGAGTCCATGCCTTGACGGATCAGAGCTATTTTGGTGGCACAAGGGGGACCTACACAATATTAGGCACGTGCTTTTGATGTTATGGCTGAATGGTACATACAGTACAATGGAGGCAATAGCTCAAACTAGAGCTGCAACAACCAATTGATAAAATCAATGATAATCAGTTATGAAAATCGTTGTCAATGAATCTCATTATCAATTAGTTGGCCTGCGCACAGCACGGTGCATGTTTACCCACAGACTAGACTAGACTAGACCAAAAAGATTAGACTTTGCCAGAAAACATCTAAAAAAAGCTTCCCATATTCTGGAATAAGATTCTTTGGAAACCAAGATTAACTTGTACCAGAATGATGGGAAGAGAAAAGTATGGCGAAAGAAAGGAACAGCTCATGATCCAAAGCATACCACATCATGGGGCAGTCGTGGCCTAATGGTTAGAGAGTCGCACTTGTAACCCGAAGGTTGTGGGTTTGAGTCTCAGGCCGGCAGGGATTGTAGGTGGGGGGAGTGAATGACCAGCGCTCTCTTCCACCCTCAATACCACGACTGAGACCCTTGAGCAAGATGCTGATCCCCCAACTGCTCCCTGGGCGCCGCAGCTAAAAAAAAAAAAAAAAAAAGGCTGCCCACTGCTCTGGGTGTGTGTTCATGGTGTGTGTGTGTGTGCACTTGGATGGGTTAAATTCCGAGTATGGGCTACTTGGCTACACTTTTCTTCACTTCATCATGTGTCAAACATGGTGGAGGAAAGGTTATGGCATGGGCATGTATGGCTGCCAATGGAACGGGCTCACTGGTGTCTATTGATTGGTGTTCATTGACTGTAAAGGATTTTCATCCAAGTATTAAAATTATGGTTATATTTACAATTATGTCACTTTGTCCAAATACCTTTGAGCTCCTGAAAAAGTAATTCCTAAATGGTAAATGCCATATTTCTGTGGATCACATCTTGATTGTTTTATTTCAAATCCATTGTGGTGGTTTATAAAGGCAAAATCACAAAAACTGTCATTGTTCAAATACTTCTGGACCTTCTGGACCTAACCATGTATGCGTGTGTGTGTGTGTATATATATATATATATATATATATATATATATATATATATATATATATATATATATATATATATATATATATAT